GCAGTTTGCTGCATCACAGAGGAGAAGTGGAGACCAGTGGATCTTCCTGAAGAGAGATGTAAAGGAGAGGAAAACTCCTTGATGAACGCACAGTGTGCCCGGCTCTCAGACACAGGGAGCCACAAGGCGGACGGTGTTTGGCTGATGAAATTATTGCAACAGAGGTTTGGGTTTCAGTGCGCGTGGTTTCAGAAATGGACTTGCCCTCAAGCCATAAACTATTCCTAACCTGGTGCCATCCAGAAGTATTGGAATACAGTTCCCATCATCCCCAGCTATCATTGCCCCTGGAAGGATGCCTCATGAGCCAAATTCATATGGGTGAATCAGCTGTGCAGACACTCACTGTAAACAGCTTTTCATAGCAGAGTTACCAAAATGATAAGAATCTGAAATTAATACTTGCCCTGGTGAGCTGTCTGAACATTGTCCTATTTCATGTTGAGAAGACAGTACTGATCAAACAGGACTACTTGGTGCACTGCATCTTATCTGTCATATGGATTATATATGGCCTTCATCAACTCTTGCTCTAACTCCTTTGAGTGATCTTACATCCCTGACCTGTACATTACAAGATAAGGCCAGATACAAAAATCTTAGCATAACCGCACTTAAAATGAGACAACAAAACTAAGCCAGAGCATGACACTGCCAAGGGCAAGGGAGAATTAGGCTGCGTGAACAGCAGCATCTTTCTGTAGCACTCTAAGGAGGCCTGCTTTGAGTATTGCATAGCCTTGCAAACCCTGGGTTCCAGCCTTAGTCACTTTACTCTAGACTGAGGTTGCAGAATGAGGGTCAGAAATTACTGAAACACGCAGCTGCAGCAACCACCTTTCAGCATGCGCATTCTGGAAAGGGCCAGCTTGGGCATTCACCAGGGCCCCTAGATTAGCAGAGGGCTACCAGCTCACCAGTGTTTCTATTTCCCCTTTGTAGTGAGCATCCAAGATCAGATGCAGCCCAAGAGAAGGTTCCACTGGCACATCCAGTCTTTTCCAGGATGAGGAGTGCCAAGCCAGAAAGCCTCCAAAACCCTGGAGCTACTGCCCCGTCTGCTGTTCCCTGAATCCTCCCTGGAGCAAAGAAAGTTTCCAGCTCCTTCCTCTATGTGCTTCCTCCTCCTCCTCCTCCTCCTCCCTTCCTTATCCAAAACTGTATGACAAGATGGTTGGTTGTACCTGGCTCAGAAAAAAGAATGGTATTGCAAGGGTTGTGATTGGGATTGGCACATCTGTCCTGGATCTCTGGATCGTAGGGTTACTGCATTGCTGCCAGTACAACAGCAGTAAATTCTCCTATGTGAGTGATCTCCCCTTGTGCTTCCATGACCCTGAACTGTGGTTTGTGCTGTAAATGTTTGATAGAGACATCTTGTCAAGCTAATTATTCTTTAGATCAGCATTTCTGTTGCAATGACCTTTGTCAAGGCATTTAAGGGAAATAAAGAAGTGAAAAAAGAGATGAAAAAATACATGAGTTAGCTCTTTTTCCAAATCTGAGCTGATACCATATGGGTTGGTTAAACATGAAGCTATCCAGACTTTCATTTTGGCTAGAAGGGTAAATGTAGAATGCAGGACTTCCTGGAGGATGGGCTGGAATCCCCCTGGCTGTGCAACCAATTCTGGGTGCCCAAGGGGGCCTTGGGCTACTTTGACATAAAGAGGAGAGTCACACCCACCACTTGGCAACTCACCTTGGAAATTGCACTGCATGGCAAGGACTGTGCAAGACAGTCTTGGGAATCTGCTGTGTAAAGAGATCCCAACAAGCCCAGCACAGCTGAGCCTACGCAAAGGTTCATGCTTCAGCTAGTTGCTGGCCCCAGCCACAGTCTCACCCAGGCAGAGGAGGGATCTTTAAGAACAGGCTGAGAAACACATGTCGGCTGGAACAGGTTTCTGCAATTTAACAGTCTACTAACTCTGTTAAGCATTCGTTCCCAAAACACAAAACATGTAGGGAGGAAGTGCAATTATTGCCAATTATATCAGCGTTGTAGCTTTTAATTTTCTCAAGGTTCCATGCCTTGATGCTATTACACAGACAGAGCTTCACCAAATGCCAGCCTGGATAGTGTAACAAAATCTTTTCTCATTATCTGAAAAATAATTTAAGAGAGAGAGAGAGAGTTTATGCTTTGCTAAATAAATTATACAGGCTGTGATGCAAAGCTGCATCCTCCAGATGTTTTGAACTGCAGTTTCCAGCATTCCTGACCATTGGCTATGCCAGGTGCTGGAAACTGGAATCCAAAACATTTGAAGAACTTCTGTTTGGGAAAGGCTTGCCCTCTCATTCTTTTACTAAGTATGCTAGTAATATCTGACCCACCAATGTAAGGCCTTTGGGTTTTCATTCTCCCTCCAAATTCCTCTTTGTGTCTGAGAGAAGGGCAGAAAGGTTTTGAGCGCAACCTCCGATCTGTGGGGTTGACTGATAGACTGGACAAAAAGCAGGTTTAAGGTTTCAGGTTTAGAGAAACAGAAGGCCAGGTTATTATGTCCATGTTTCTCATGGCCAATTTACCACGAATCTATTTTTCTCTTAGAGCTGTTAATCTACTGTATCTCCTTTCAGTTTTGTTCTAGAATTAACAATGGAATTTTCCACAGAGCTTTTCCTTTCTAGGCAGAGCTGTGCTGTAGTGGAATAACACAAATGCACAAGTAGGAAAAAAACACTTTCTTTTACTTTCAGGGATAAAAGCTTTTCTACTCAAGGCATGGGTTGTGCATTTATCATTCCCTACTTTTAGCTATATATGGATTTTTTTTAGCTAATGTTGTGACCCTCCGGTTTCACTTCTGCTTTTAAATGGGAACCTGGTCTAAACAAAGCCAAAACACAAAATAAACCTGCAGAAGTACTCTTTAAAAACAAAAGCAGGGAGAGGATCCTTTCCTTGTTACCAGCCACATTCCTTCATGGTAATCTGTAAGGGGCTGCATGTCAGTGATAAGTAGGGCTGAAGCCAGGGTGGGCAGAGCAGAGTGGAGAATGAGCTGGCCACGTTGCTTCTTTTTCTTCTACTCTCTTTTAACTGCCCGTCCATCCTGTCCTTCTCTCTCTCTCTTCATGAAATAGCCTGCCAAGGAAGGAAAGAGGTCTGAACCCATCACATGCAGAGGGCACCTGAAATTCGGCTGAGAACCATATGCAGCCCAGTGCTGCAGATTCCTCACCCTTCCTCCAGAGAATCTGCCATGTCTGAAACAGGGCACAGAGGCTACAAGTCTTGTTCTCAGGACCATAGGAGATGTAAACGACCCTTTGATCTTGGTGCCGCAGCCAGCCATCACCACCAAGGCCCCAGGGAGGGGCTTTCCCAGGCTGTGGGGACCTCTCCTCTCCCCCAACCGGGTGGTGATGCTGTGCAGCAGACCCAGCAGGAACCCTTCGAGGGCTTCTCCTCCTTGTCCCCTCCACATCATGCAGGCAAGACTCTTCTGTCGGCCTGCAAACTACCAGGCAGGTGAATTCTGGCTGGCCTCTCGCTCCTTGGATCGGGACAGCGCTTTTTCTCCCACTCCGCATCACTGCAGAGCCTCCACTCACGGTGCCAGCGCAGTGTGCCACTCCATCTGACCACTCGCGTCACCTCTCCTCTCTTGGGCTCCTCCCCTCTGTGGCTCACTGGCTGATGGGGTCTGTGTTCCCCTCCATGCCTCCCTCCACCCCGCACCAGCTGCCTTTCAGGTCTCCTGGCTTCCCGCCACCCTGCCATCTCCGGCAGCCCAGATCACTGCAACTGGAGCATGGCCACAGCAAGAGGGCCTGCTCAAGTCACAGCGCGGCCCAAGGGAAAGGACAACATTTCATGTAAAAAAGACAGCCAGGCTGGCCGTTCAAGAAAGGGGCCACCACACTGAAGCGCTGCACAGGATAACCTCGGCTAAAGACCTGCATGCAGTTTTGGAAGGCTACTGTCATCCACATGTGAGGTTTTATGAGTAATTCTGCCCCAATACTCTTTCCTTTAGTTTGTTCCTGTCTGCAGAAAAGGAAGAAGCAGCGAAATCTTGCATTGGCATCAGGACAGCGCCCTTAATCACACCTGAGGCCAGCAGGCTGGTTTCCAGATGCAAGAGAGGTGGAGTGGCCCACATCACATAGACCTCTAAGAGAGTGGAGTGGCTGGGGGCTCAGGAGGAATAGAGGGGGCCATAACTGGTACCTTCCTCCATCTGCCCTGGGAGGCAGTTGCCTCACTCTGCTTCAGGATAGGGCCAGTCCTGTGCAGCAAACCCCTATCAGCCTGCCTGCACTTTAAGATCACTTCTCATTTGCCCACCTGTGAAGACAGTTAGGTGGGTAACTAAATTAGAGAGCACCTTTTCTGTAGTGGCCCCACACCTCTGGTATAAGTTGTCACGGGTCAAGTAACAGGTCCCATCACTGCAGGCTTTTAGGAAGGCCTGAAAACCTATTACTTTACTCAGGCTGTCTCCCAACTCTTCGTTTGAGCGGTCTGGTTGTAAGTGTGGTTCCCTAGGTAGATTTTGTTTTTATGCTTTTTAAAAGCAGTGCTTGCTGTTTTTACTACATTTTATTGCTATTAGGATTACCACCATGTTGCTCTTTATTATGTGGGTTTGATTGTTGTACGCCACCTTAGGAGAGCTCTTGCCCTGGAGAAGAAATATCTTAAATCAATAAATCATAACAAGGCAAACCTAGAGTGCTTGTTCTAGGGGTGAGTCTTTGCTGCAGAAAGAAAGGGAGGGACACAAGAGGAGGAGAGCCAGACGGAAAGTGATTGGGAGCTGCCACTGGCTCTCCAGCTTTTCAGGGAATACCAGTGCCTTGGAATACAACCCTATGTGCATTGCTGGCTGGTGAACGCGGGGAATTGTAGGACTTTTTCCCATCTAAACACACATAGAATGTTGTCCTTGGATTGTTTCCTGATCAACAAGGTGACTCAGTTTGTGGGATAGTTGTCACTGCTTCTAAATTCAGACAAGAAGTGTCAGAATGAGGGTGCATCGGGGTCAAAGGCTTACATGAGACAAGGGCCGCATTCATTATTTAGGAAGCTGTTGTGTCAAGAGGCGATAGCTCCATAAAGCAGTATGTTTCAAACACAAAGTATCTCTGTTGTCAGGTTCAGATTAAAGGAGCCATTGTTTGGGGTTGCTGCAGTGTCTTTTCTTCTTATCCTATGGCCTGGGGTTATATCTGAGTCATGGAAGCAGGAGAAAAAAGTAATCGGTGGGCACCACAGTGGTTTCTATCTAAATCATGTGAGCAAAGACAGCTGGAGACCACTGACCATATGGTCCAGCTGGTCGAAGTGCTTTTCTACAGAAGTCATTGATTATGTGATTGTCATTCTCCACTCACGGTTGTTTTGGGGTTCTTCAGGGGCTTCTCTACACGAGGCTTTTCACATGCTACTTCAATGAGACTTCTGCTCCTGGATCTTTTGCAGGATTAAGAGTGGCTCCTTTACACATATTCCTTCTCCAGGGGTTTTTCCTCCCGTCTTTTCATAGCCCCATTACACAACCGCAGGGTGGATGCAGCAGTCTAGTAGAACTGCAAGAAGATCAAGCTTCTCATCCCACTGGAAATATAATGCCTCATCTGAGACAAGCTGTGGAAATGCTTGGAAAGCATGGGAGAGGCCCTGGAAAAAGACCACATTGTGTGAAGCACCCAGCTGCTGTGACTGAGGAATTACAAGCACACAATACATGCCTCATGTAGAGAAGCGCAGTGGCACTGGGACCCTCTGTTACACTTCTGTGTCCAACAAGTGCTTTTTGGAGCAGGGAAAATGCTACCTTTAAAGCTCAAAGCAAAAGAAAAGGCCATTTCCTCTTGTGTGTTGGTGTTACTTCTCTATCATAGTGCCACCTAGAGGTTATTTAGCAGAAAGGCCAGCAAGGGAATGCTCCTTGGGCAGTGTCAGATCTTGGAAGTAGCTACCGTGGATTGACAGCCTTGTGTAGATAAACTCTCAATCTCACCAAGAAGAGCAATCCAAGATGTCAGGCAGAAATCCTTCCCAACAGTGCTGCCTGGGAGTCCTTCTTGGGGTAACAAACTTGGGGAGGCTAGGAAATTAACTGGGTGCTTTCCCTGTGCAAAACACATGCTCTGTCACTGAGTTATGACTAATTTCAGAGGAATCTAAGCAGGTGCCAAACGAACAGGACTTTTAATATGGAAGAATGGGACAATGGCTGGGAGGAAAGAAAGGCATTCCTTCCAAACAAAGAGATTTGAGCCCCGGCTCTCACACCTGGGCTGCTCGTGAGAAACGGCAAGCCAAACCTTGTCAAAGAGCAACAGCAGTTGCTGCTTTTATTCCGCAGTTGGGGGGGGGAGTGTTTTGGCAAGCCGCCTTGACATCCCCCTGCCCCCCCCCCCCCGTTTTTGGTAGAGAAGCAAGTTAAGGCATAAAAATATCGACAGCAAAGATACGTCCTCCTTTCTTTTCTTACAATCAACAAATACAGATGCTTTTCTCTGCCTCCGCTTCTGCCTCCAGTACTGGCTCGGAGTTCGGGCCAGAGAGGGGACCCGGAGCTGCAGAGCTTGGAAAACGCCTTCCCCCGGAGCCCCTGGCTGCAACACGAGCCCTTTCGCTGGCAGCCTGTGGTTAACGTCCCGGTTCTTTAACGAAAACAAGCCTTTTGGCTGATTTTGACTGGCTTGCAAGGACGTTGCAAACACTCCCCTGAACTTTGAACCGCCTCTGAAGCCGAGATAAACAGGAGAAGTATAAATACGAGGGCGCTGCTGTTACTTGTTGGTTTCTGCTTGCAAGGGTTGGAGAGGCGCGCAGGGAAGAGGCCAAGCGAAGGGTGGGGTAAGTCCCTTCCTTTCGTGGCTAGCGGGCTTTGCGAGTTGTGCGAACGGCGATGCAAGGAGCTGCACTTGCTGGAAAAACCGGACTTTGCAAATAAATATCCGGGCACGGGAGCTTTACTTTAAAACTTTATCCCGCGATATATTATTTCCTATAGAAATATAATTGCAGAAGCCGCGAGTACACTACTGGCTTCGCTATGTTGCATCGGGAAGGAATTATTACATATCTTATTTCTGTAGAAGATGGTATTCTAGTCTATAAAGCGTCGCCCTCTGGGACTTTTATCCGGAAAGCTTTACATCGCAATCCTATGCAAGTCCACCCAGAAGTCCCGCTGGGTTGAAGTTAGGCTTGCTTCCAGATGAGTGCCGCAGGCGTTTTCCGATGGCATAGCTGTGTGTTGCCCATATAACGTGAGCACACTGCAGTCATGTAATCGATTTTTGTGCGTCTGGGGAGGCGTACGAATTCCGCAGAAATCGAAGCACTTCTCAGGTTTTGCAGACTGTTAGAAATAGGGATGTCTAGAAATCAAAACATTCTTACCGAATTTATCTTCGCTTCAGACTTGCCAGAATAAAGGAAAATGTATGATACTACATTTTGTGCTACTAATCGTGCAATCCTATACAGAGCTATTCAGAAATAATCTCGAATTGGGTTTGGAAGGACTTACTCCTGGGCGTGTACAGAATTGCAGCCTAAGAGTTGCACACGTCTCTTCTCTGTTCATTCTTGCTGGTAAACACTATCAAGGATAGTGGGAATGACTTCTGAGCCATTTCAGGCTGTGCAGCTCTTTGGCCTGTGATGGATTCCATGGTTTTAACATTCAGGGTGCACCACTGGGAACAGACATGCCTTCCTGTAGGTTAATGAGAAGGAAAGCGGAATTCCAAAGTGGCAGCAATTGTATTTTTAAGTCACAATAAACAAATTGAATTCTCAAGCTTATGTTTAACTAAATGTAATGCAAAGAAACATGTTTTCCAGTATAGTTTTAATGCTTGTCAGATAATAGGAGTAGCGATTGGGGAAGGTTTCCCTGAAAAACATGGATTGCACAAAGTTCTCAAGAGTTTGCTTCCACACAGGGACATTTTCTGAAAGCTTGTAATCTTCACTCAGAATTCCATTTTAAACATTGTTTTCTTTATTTTGCAGCTGTAGCCCAGCCATGTGGGTTGGGCTGGGGCTTGCCCTGGCTCTCTGTTTCCTCCCAGGAGGAGGGACAGAGAGCCAGGGTTCAAGTACCCGATGTAACGTGCCTCCAGAATGGTGGATAGGGGAGCAGAATCCGATGCTGGACTCCAGAGGTTCGGTGACAGTGGTAGCTCTCCTTCAAGCTAGCTGATACTTGTGTCTCTTGCAGGCTTCTAGGTAAGGAGAATCTGAAACTGCATCTGTGATTTGATGGGAAGGTACTGGATTAGTTTTGTAAAACATTAAGACATTTGCTCGGGGATGGTTGAGATGTCTTCACTTGTCTGTGACTCCTTCCGGAAGAGGGCTTTACTACCTCCTTGGAAATTGAACAGGGTCTAGATGTCATCTCCAGTTGTAGTTTTGGGTTTCCCTACTGGTGCTTACATTTTTCTTGGTACCAGGAAAAAAGGCAATTAAAGAGGGAAATCCTTTTAATTGTTTGCACTAGCAGCCCTCCCTCTGGAAGTAGGAATGGGTTCATATTACTGCTTTAAAATTATTTTTCACTCTGAATCTAGCAGTGCAAGTTTCACTGTTTGGCTGTAACAAGGCTGCTTATCTTGCTTCTGATGCTAGATGTTTCACTTACTCATTTTTGAACTTCATCCAAGCTTGCTTTCCAAAAAATTAACTAGCAAGAGCCCATACTTTAGAACACCACTGGTTTCTTAGGGTTGGTTTTTGATCCAGGTCATTAGCATTCTTAGGAATTTTCACTTTTAATGTTCTATTGTAGGCTTTCAGGAGGGATTATGAGTTCTCATAGCACTGTATATCCTATCTTGGAAAATCAAGGACAGCAGACCAACTGCATTATGAATGTGGATGCACAAGATATTCCTATGTTTTGCAAATCAATGAGGATGCCCTTCTCAAAGCCTTTCATAGGGGAGCAACATGAGACTCCCCTCTCCCCTCTTGGAAAGTTTTGGTGGCCATGCAAAAAATACCAGGATTTACAAAGGAGAGAGTAAATGGAAAAAGGTTGTTTGCAGCCCAAACTACTGGTGGTTGTATCTGTGTTTTGGTGAGAAAGAAGATCTGCCAAATGACTTTCTTCTTTTGTTGTTGTTTTACCTTTGCTTGCGGAAAAAGAAGAAATGGCTAATATAGTCAGTACATTCATTATACAGAACTTGCAGTCTCCATTAAAAATAGAACAAAATGGCATATTGCCACTGATTTGCAAGCATTAATATAAAGCTTTTGTTAAATAGGTTGGGAGTATTAAAAGCTTTTAATATGTGGGGAAATATTTTGAACAGTGTATATTTTAAAAGAAACTCTTGAATTGTTTTAATGGTCAAGAAGGACCTGGTTTTCCCAATATGGCATTGAAATCCTCATGCACAGAAATATCAAAACAGAAAACCTGATAGAAGTATTTCCTAAGCAAACAAGCCCAATGCAACTACCTCCAAAGTTGGAGGCATTGATATGTGTGGTGCTTTTAGCTGGACATAAAAAGTTACTATCAGAGATTTCTGGCAACACCCTTGAAGCTGACATAACCATAACATGTTGAAAATAATAATGCTTTGTTAAAGATTCTGAAAAGCCTTTCTGAGAAGTCCTATCCCCTGCAAGTGTTTCAAAGGAAAGATGATTTGTGTAAGATACTCAATGTTTCACTTTATACCTGTTAGACTGGAAGACCTGCGACTGAAGCTGGAACGTGATGGGTTGATTGTTTCCTTTTTGGTGGTCAATCACCAAGGACAACATTCCCAGCTAAAGTATCCCCAACTAAGAGAAAAGGTTTCGACGAACATTCCTGTATACCAACAAGATTCAAAACAGCCTGATGTCTGGACTGCTCTAAATGGAAGAAAGGATGATTTTCTGATCTATGACAGGTCTGTCTATAAATAGGAAGCTGAGAAAGTTCAGATCAGATGGATCACCAGGTCTTTATAATGAAGTATTTCATCTTTTGAAACAGGGATGGGGAACATGTGACCTTGTTTGCAGGGAGGTCACAATGCCCATGAACCCTAGCCATCATAGCCAGTGGTAAGGGTTGATGGGAGTTGTAGTCAAGAGCCTCTGGCAGGCCACACATTTCTCATCTTGTTTTAAAGGGCACAGTGATGATTTCTACTAGATGCTATTGTGTGATTGTTCTGGATGGATGGCAAAATAAATATGGGCTTTCAGATTGTGGTGAGATTGCACCCTGTCACATAGAGGTGGTTGAGTCTGGGTTCTAACACATGAGTGAAAGCACATCCTTATAAAGTCCCCTCCTTACAGAAAACTGGATGTCAGAGAAGAATTCTAGCCTAACATTCTCCCTACTGCACTGCTCCACTATATATCAGGATTTTAACTCATTTTCTTTGTGGAGTGCTTGAGAAGACTGAGTGGGGACATGATGTCCCTCTATAAGTACCTCAAGGCTGTCACAAAGTGGAAGATTAAGATCTTTTCTCACTGATACCGGAGTGTAGGGCATGTAATAATCAGCTCAAGTTGCAACAACTCAGATTCAGGCTAGATATCAGGAAAAGTTTCCTCACTGTCAGAGCAGTATGACAGTGAAACCAGTTGCCTAGAGAGGTCATGGGTTCTCCCACACTGGAGACATTCAGAAAGAAACTGAACAGGCATCTGAGTGGGATGGTGTAACTTGGTGTCCTGCAACAGCAGGGGGTTGGACCTGATGGCCTGCATGGCCCCTTGCAGCTCTACCATTCCATGATCCTATGTAGTCTGAATGGTATGGTGCGCACTAGGCCTATGCCACAAGATCATAAGAAAAGCCAGGAATAGTCTGGTGTTTTGTGTGCCTATAGGAGCACATAGTAAAACATGATCAGAATAGTGCTCTACTAGCTGTATTCTCCAGCAACTGGCATTCAGAGGCATATTGCCTCCATTAAAGTGGTAACAGAGCCATCATAACGAATTTGTATTTGTTCTGCTGCTTTCAAGGATTTTTGATGGGAGAGAACTCCCTGCCCTCTAAACAGGAATGGCACAAGGGGATGCCCGCAATTCAGAAGTGCAATGAAAAGGGGAGGAAATGGATAGACACATTATTGCAATAGGCAGCTGAAAATGCCCTCCTCTCACAACCTTGCTATATTGTATTGCATTGCTATAGTGGTGAAGTGCCTACAGTAGATCATGCGGATTGTAGCAGCAGCTAAGACTTTTCTGAACCAACAAATTCATTTTGTTTCATAAAGCTGCATTTTATGAAAACAATGCTAAATTGATAATTTATTTTGTGCAACTTTTTATTAGGTGTGGTCGCCTTGTGTATCACCTTGGTTTGCCTTACTCTTTTCTGAGTTTTCCGTATGTGGAAGAAGCCATTCGTATCACATACTGTGAATCCAAGTGTGGAAACTGCTCTTACCTGGTAGGTGTTTACTTTATTCTCCTCTTTTTGGGTTTTTTTTTTTTTTGAGGGGGCTGGGGGTGTGTAATGGATGTGTGGCGGGGTGGACAGCTTGTGGCCCTCCAGATGTTTTAGCCTACAATTCCTTCTACCTTTGGCCATGCTGACTAGAGCCGATAGGAGGTGTAGGGCAAAACATTTGGAAGGCAAGAAGTTGTCTACTCCTGATGTGGGACATGCTGCATTTTGGAAGCTTTTGCTGTGGGTGCTATGGACTTAAGGAAAATCTTGCCATAATGCAGACAGTTGAGCTCCTCTTAGTCTGGTTAAGGATTCACATGCCTAGGTTTCTCCAGTTGTATAATCACTGTACAACCATTCCACTAAGACCTGCCGATGGAATTTGATGAAGTGATTCTATGGTATATATTAATCCCAAAAGGTACCTTATAATTCCATCTCTGAAGCAGGCCTTGCACCATGAGTGGGAGAGTTCCTAAAACCCCATATACAGGGCCTTGGATGAATAGCAAGGTAACTAAAATGTTTGGTCCCAAGACGTCATGCAAATAGACACCCTCATTTTTAATGGCTCTAGTTTGGTGACTAAGGAAGTAAAACATGCTAGATACTTTCTCAATTAAGAAATCCTTGATCTCAGCATGGCACTGTTTCATAAATTACTGAGTAGAAGTGGGATAGAGAGACGGTAATTATGTTTCAATATCTTTCAGGAAGCTATATAGATATGAAGGTCTGTAACTTAAGCAGCAACTTTGTCTTAGAAAAAAGAATAAGCTTGATTTAATATGATTGAGTTTTCTATTGTAATATGACATAATGAATATAAAATCAGTTAAGATCTGGTATATTTTTAAGCCTATATCCCTGTTTTCTGAACTTGTGTGCACTTATGAACATTTTCCTTTCAGACATCGGAGGATGAAGACTTATGCAGAAATTTATCAAAGGCATCCTCAGATGAGACACTAACTGAGGCAGCACGACCTTCTGCACAGGATCAGTTGTCTCCTCATGGGCATCACGGGCATGGGCATCACAGGCATGGGCATCACCCTCCACAGAACAATCGGGGACGTAACAGAGAGGGTCAGGCAGGTAGCCAGGAGATTGTGGATGCTCCCCCACAAGGGAGGAGGAACTGACGGAAAGAAAATGCTGTCTGCAACCGACAGTTGAGCTGAACCTGGCAGCAGCTGGCAGGGTCTGCTTCAGGGAGCTGATGCTGACACTGACGGCACTTGCTGTTTGAAGATCTACGCAGTGTTGCCTCCTGACATTGCCGTGGAGAGCTCCCATCTTCCTGAAGGTGACGTGGGCAGCTGTTGGCAGAGAATATCACTGAGTCTTGTCAGTGACGTCTGCCAACAGCTGCTTGACGGTCACAAGCAGGGAGTGAGAGTGAAACCTCCAATGCCTGACAGTGAGCAAGGAGGACTGAAAACTGAGCCTGAAAAACAATCTAAACATCTTAAACATGGGAAAGGATTCTAGTAATACTGTCAGATCTATCACACTGATTGGAAACACTTATTAAACAAAAGCAATTAAAAACTTAGTGAGTGACAACTACAACTCTGATAGTACCATTATGTTTGAATAAAGCTACTTGTGCAGCTCAGTTCATGAGCCAAATATGTCAGATGACTTGAGTTTCAGCTGTGTTTGTTCAATTGCACTCAAGTGCTATTGCCTAATTGATTGGTATGGAGTTGTCTGGGTCAGGTGACTTTACTTAAAAAAAGAACAAATGCTTTCATAATGGTATGGAATTGTTTTTCAGTGCCAGTTCAGACTGTTCATTGTGTTTGGTTAGCTTGTCTTTCTGGTCTACTCTTCTACCATTCTGTTTGCTTTTGTGAAGACAGAAGCAGAAACTATAGCCTAGGGGCTTCTGTTTGATATATAGCAACCAAGAACAGGAGAGGATAAGAAAAGACCTGTTAACTAGCTTCTTAAATGTGTTTTTGAAGACCAAGAAAATATGTGCTTTTTTCCCAATAAAACCTTAGTCACTTAATTATCAGGCTATTAGATGGCATACATTTAAAACATGTGCTCCAAACAATAATTCCATTTTCAATCTGGTTCACCAGAATATGGAACCCCAAAATAACAGCTTTGATATAAGCATGTTTAAAGAATCAACTTTCAATTTTAATATGCAACTTTTTGTGTTCTGAAACTGCTCTAGGCAGTCTTCGTAACTGAGGATCACAGCCATTCGGAATTATGGAGTCCTGGCAAATTCCATTAAAGGATCAGTCAATCCATCTTCATTGATCGATCAAGCTATCTATCAATCTAGCCACAATTTGTGTTGACTTTTGGTTTGTTTGGGTTCGTTTGGATCACCTTTGATAACTGATTAATCAAACTTTTATAATGTCTCTCTTTATGTAGCTAAGTAGCATCTCATAGTTACACTTTGTTTTTCTAATACTATTTTTGTGTGTGTTGTATATGGAGGGTTTAGCGATGAAGGCAAACATTTAACAGAAAGGAACTACTTAGATTGTGCTTGCTATAATTCATGATGGTTTAATAGGGAAAGCAGTTCTCCTACAAAACCTGAATTCTTTTATAGTGAACACTTGTAAGCAGGAAAGTAGGCAGGATAGAACTGGAAACTATCTGAACTTATGTGGTCAACAAATAAGAGATTTTAATAAATGCAAAAAGCCTTTTGATCCAGTGTGGAATTTCTCAAAGACCAATTTTTCTGTTTTCATGTAGATCTCAAAACTCTCTCCGTTTGAGGTGGGAATCTTGACTTGTTCTAAGTCTGTGTTCTAAGTCTTTGATGGTATTACGGAGAAATTCAATTTCCTTGTTCTTTTCTTCTTGAAGATGCTGAAGCTTCTATAGAAATCCAAACAAATATTTTGTTGCCCATTGAAGCAGATGTGACATGTGTTGCTAAGAACCCACAGCTAACAAACTGTGGGTTGTTGAAAATGCAGCGGGAGGGAACGCATGTGCTAGTACTGTGTGCTCTCCAGCTGATGTGGTAAGCCTTGTCCAAAGCCAAAGCCTTGGATTATTGGACAAACCACTCCAAATTTGAACCCGTGAACATGTGAACTGGGTGACAGTGTATATATTTATGACAAAAATGCTACTGATGTTGAAAAGTACAGGAAGGGTCAAAGAGCTTATGTGTTTTATGACTACTCACAGAGACCACTTCCTCATTGAAGAAGATACAGAGCACATAATTGCAACTTCCTAGTTCGTACATGTGGAAGGAAATTAAAGCTAACATATGGGATAGAACTGGTTTAGGGAAGAACAAAAATGCCGATAAGCTCCATATACCTGCAGCAACCACTATAGTTCTTTTACTACCTCTGGATGGCATGATTTACAGTTTTAATTCTGTATGCGAAGGCCATTTCCAAAACTTAAGTGGTAAATGTATCTTTGTAAATAATTTTACAAGGTGTACCAATCTAGCCAAATCACAAAGTTAATTTGATGTAACAAACTGTTGATGCATTAATGACAGAAATAAGAACTACAATGCTTTGTACATTTTTCATTGCTGTGGAAGTTAAAACATAAGAGCTGCATCCCCTTGATCTGAAGGTGCATGTGCTTCCAATTTAAGTAGCGTGGGCAGGGCAGGGCAGGGGAGGGGGATTCACCTTACTTCTGAAATAAATGGAGGAACCTTGTTAGGCAAAAATCGGCATTCCTTCTTTCAGATGAGGTAACTGGATGGGGTGAATTAATTACACTTCCATATACAGTGGAAAGGACACGACACAACATTTATGGTTATGCATATTAGCCCTTAAAATATGGTGTATTGACTATCCAAATGAACATCTATGGAAACATGCAGGAAGCAGTGCAGTAAAACATACCCTTCTGAAGATGTTCTGAGGTGATGGTGTAGGATTTGGAGATGGCTTGGGTGCTTTGGACTGAAGCTTTAACAGTTTTGCGTGGAACTGCAAGAATGATAAATGAGCAAGTTGATAAACAAAGTGGGGGAGGGAAAATGGCAAATAATACTTTAATAACATGAGGCAAAATCAAATAATGGTTATGATACTGGACTAGAATGAAGGAAATCCAGATTCCAGTCCCCATTTAAACATGAAGCCAGTGACCATCTCACAGTCTAAGCTCCTTTGCAGAACAGTTAGGAGGATAAAGGGAGAGCCATGTATTTCACTGAACATTTTGGAGGGAAGAATGGGACCAGATATTAACCTAAATATCTCCAGTGTTATAAAAATTAATTTTTTTTGCTCTTACTGCCTTCTCAGAAATAAAATGGGCTAAGAAACCAAAGGATGAGCAACAGAATTCTATCTCAGTTCCAAACTCACTCACTTAGAATTTGCTATGAATATCAATGGAAATTACCTCCTAAGTTATTTCCAAGAAGAGTAGCATATGGCTCTCTTACCAATTGTGAAATAAAGCAGTTGACAAGCTGGCCCTGGGATCTCTCCTGCTTTGTTACAGAACAGACCCAATCTTTTTTGCAGGGCATTTCTTGTGGCTGCAAATGCATCTTTTATGTAAACTTTTTAAAGCCCAAGCCTGAGCAGTCTTTGATGTAGGGTCACCTAACTACAAAGCCATAGAACATTTTACTGCCCCAAATCACCTGTGCATTTGAAGGAAGCATTACGACAAATCAGCAGTAGAAATGCTTTCATTTTTCTGCAGTCTCTAATACTAGTGTAAAGTCTCTTTGGAGGTAGCGGGCAAGTTTCTCTCAAGCCAGACTTCAGTCCCATTCCTGAAATTTCACTAGCATTTCAGCCTTATGCCAACAAGACATTTCTTGGGATCTGTTACAGAAGTTTTGTACTTACCAATGAATTCCAGGGCTGAGCTCATGTGATATGAGAGAGAGAGACTTGTGCTATGTGCAGTTCTCCACCTTGTCTGGGTTTCTACCACATACCTCTATTTGTAATTTGATTATCTCATTCTCTTTTTGCTTTTCTTGAGCTTTCAGCTGACTAGTTAGTTCCAAAATCTCCAGCTCTTTCCTTTCCATTAGTTGCTTATGTTCTTCTTCACTTGTTTCAACTAATAACAAAAAAGAAAACAATGTCAACATTCACTGCATTAAGTAGATTTTAGGTGCATTTGAAACACTGCTTCAATTTTTTTTTAAAGAAAAAGTGTAGGCATGTAGGTGCATTTGCTTCCCCCTACCATGGTTCTTTTTCTCCCCCCGCTCCTGCTGCACCCGATTCCCTCCTTTCTTGCCCTGCCTGCTTCTGCCCGCCTCCATGCTGCTTCTCCTTTCCTGCTCAGGATTGTTTTTGCCACTTCACCTACTTCATCTTGCTGCTCTGCTTCTACCAGTCAACGCAAAGCCTACAGGTTAGGAGTAAAAAACCTGAGCTAGCTAATCCCCTGAAGCCTGCTTCAGTAAGATCAATGTCAGTTACCCAGAGGACCTTTTCAGTGGTTGCCCCTAAATTGTGGAATGGTCTGTTGGTAGAGACAGGTCTGATTTCCCCAATTCCCATCTTTAAGAGGGAGCTCAAAACATATATCTTCTGACTGACCTTCCCAGATTAGTTCTCATGTCAGTTTTATTTAATACGTTGTATTAGTCAATACTACCTACTATTGGTTTAATTGCTTGCAAACCACCCAAACATAGGAGAATAGAGCAGTATATAAATATTACAATAAAAATAAAAATTAATTTGCTGAAATTCAAAACTAGCAATTACAGATTACACAAATTAAGGAAGTGGGATTTAAAATAATGTGTATATTGCCTTTGAGATGTCTAACTCTCAGACCAGCTCCTTAGTGAAAAAGAATTGGGTAGTAAGGTACCTTGCTGAAGCATTAATACATACCCCTTTCATTTTTCCATATTTTGTTGTGTTACAACCGGGAATTGAAATTGGCATTGTTACCATTTGAGGTATACAAGATACTCAACACTGGCGATGCAAAATACTTTTATTGTGGCATAAAAGTTAAGTAAATGAAAACAAAATGGCACTTACTGGTTGCATAAGTATTCAATCTCTTTGCTGTGAAATGCCTAAAGAAGCTCTAGTATAACCCATGGCCTCCAAAAGTCACCCACTTCAGGTAGTTAAATGAAGCCAATGGTAACTCTGAAGAAGCTGGATAGATCTGAAGCTGAGACTGAAGAACTTGTCCATGGCACAATTATCACCGAGATGGTCCACAAAGTTGGGCTTTATGCAAGAGTTGCAAGAAGAGCACCATTGCTGAAACAATCTATATCAAAGCTTGTATGGAGTTGCAAAGAGTCATGTTGGAGACACAGCAAATGTGGGAAAAGTTATCTGGTCTGATGAGAACAAAACTGAACTTTTTGCTCTTGCAAAACGCTACATATGGTGCAAGAACAGGAGAGCTCATTGCCTTGAGAACAGCATCTCCATGGTAAAGAATGGTGGTGAAAGCAAGATGTGGGAATGCTTTTCCTCGGCAGGGAGTGGGTAACTGACCAGGATAGCGGGCACGATGGATAGAGCCAAATACATGGTAATTGAAATAAACTGAAATAAACTGAAATAAACTCAATCCAGCTAAGACGGAGGTTCTGTTGGTGGGTGATTCGAGCTCCTGGGTAAGCGACTTGGGCCTTGCCCTGGACGGGGTTGCACTCCCTCTAAAGGACAGGGTCTGCAGCTTGGGAGTGCTCCTCGAACCGGAGCTGTCCTTGGAAGCTCAAGTGACAGTGGTGGTGAGGAGCACTTTCCTTCAGCTTTGGCTAATCCTTCAGCTGTGTCCCTACCTGGAGGAAGATTGCCTAGCAACAGTAACACAAGCATTGGTTACTTCCCGGTTGGATTTCTGTAACATGCTTTACATGGGGTTGCCCTTGAAGACAGTCCGGATACTTCAGATGGTTCAAAACAGAGCTGCCAGGATGCTGTTGGGGCCTGGGCGTTATTCTCATATAACCTCAGTCCTCTATCAGCTCCACTGGCTTCCCATCGAAGTCTGGGCTCAATTCAAGGTGCTGGTTATTACCTATAAAGCCCTAAATGGCTTGGGACCTGGATACCTAAAGGAACATCTTCTTCCCTATTTGCCCTCCCGCCCCCTGAGATCAGCAGCAGATGCCCTCCTCCGGGAACCCTCTGTGAAAGATATTAGGAGACAGAGTACCCAGAGGAGGGCCTTCTCTGTGGTGGCGCCCCGTCTATGGAGCACGCACCCCAGAGAGATTTGCCTGGCACCGTCATTTTTCGGTGCCAGGTTAAGACCTTTTTGTTGTAACCCCCCTCATAATCGAACACGCAGCCAGGGCATGTCTCGTCACGGGTAAAAAGCATGGTCAGGGTGTCCTGTTCGCGTGAGAACAAGAACAAGAACGAATGTACACGCTACGCAAGGATGAAAACAAAAGCCCAAGCATAACCGCAGACGTTACGCCCTTGTACCCTCGCTTGCTTTAGCATGATAAATGTGCAAATGGGGCTCAGTGGCTTTCCCCTATTGTTTGCTGTTATTCAAGCATAATTGTGAAAGAGTATAAAAATGCTGTCTTCCTTCTGCTCGAGACCGCACTCTAACGAGTGTGGTCCCTGCAGGTAATAAACCTCCTCTCGAAAATTCCAACTGGTCTCTGGTCTCATCCGTAAAACCACGGGACACAACACTTTTTATTTAATCAATATTTTAACAAGTTTTAATATTGAATTTTATTACCATATTTTAATTGCAGCCAGAGTGGGTCGTTAATTTATTTATGTCATACTGTTATGTACTGAATTTTGTGTAAGCCGTCTTGAGGCTCTTGCAAAGGATGGCATACATACATACATACATACAAATAAATAAATAAATTTAGAGGGGTATCTATTTCTGTCTGCAAGGTACCTGCAAAGGTTCACCTTCCAGCAGGATAGTGCCCCTAAACACATAACCAAAGTAACATGGGAGTGGTTTGAAAACAAGAAGCTGAATGTCTTCGAATGGCCTAGTTAAAACCCAGACCTTAAAATCTGTGGCAAGACTTGGGAGTCACTGTTGACCAATGTGCACCTCCAGCTGGACAAAGGTAGAACAGCTTTGCCAAGAACAATGGGCAAACATTGCAGGATTCAGATTATTATTATTATTATAACATTTCTATGCCGCCCCTTGCCGAAACCTCGGGGCGGCTTACAACACGATAAAACACAATGAAATACAATAGCACATAATAAATTACCATTAAATACAAAATACAAAAAATACATTGGTTTACAAATATAAGATTAAAATTATCAGTATAAATTAAGTAAATAAAAATATAGGAGGAGAAAGAGAAGGAAGAAGAAGTTGCCCTGGCCAGATCATATGTTTTAACAATTCAAATGATGTTTAAATAAAAAGGTCTTTACCTGGCGCCGAAAAACCAGTAACGACGGTGCCAGGCGGACCTCTTTGGGGAGTGAATTCCATAGGTTGGGTGCCACCGCAGAGAAAGCCCTCCTCCGGGTACTTACTCTCCTAATTTCTTTCATGGAGGGTTCCCGGAGAAGGGACTCTCCTGCAGATCTCAAAGGGCGGTCGGGCATGTACGGACGTAAGCGCTCATTCAGGTAGCCAGGACCCAAGCCGTTTAGGGCTTTATAGGTCATAATCAACACCTTGAATTGGGCCCGGGCTTCAATGGGAAGCCAGTGAAGCTGACGGAGGACTGGAGTCATGTGAGCATAATGCCCCGTCCCCGTCAGCAACCTGGCAGCTCTATTTTGCACCAATTGAAGTGTTCGGACTGTCTTCAGGGGAAGCCCCATGTAAAGCGCGTTACAGAAGTCTAGGCGGGAAGTCACCAGCGCGTGTATCACTGTTGCCAGGCAGTCGTACTCCAGGTAGGGGCGCAGCTGATTAATCAGCCGAAGCTGAAGGAAGGCGTTCCTCGCCACCGCTGTCACCTGAGCTTCCAAAGAAAGCTCTGGGTCGAGGAGTACTCCTAGGCTGCGGACCTTATCCCTAAGTTTTACCCAAGAAAAGAGATTTACCCAAGAATGCTTGTAAGTGTAATTGTTGCCTAAGGTGCTTCTGTAATTACTTATGACCCATGCAATGAACAAGTGCCAATTTGTTCTTTTTACTTTTGTGTCACAATAAAAATATTTTACATCTTCACAGTGTTAAGTATCTTGTGTACATTAAGTGGTAACAATGCCAATTCAGCCCATTTCAGTTCCAGGTTATAACACATCAAAATGTGGAAGTCAAAGGGGTGGGGATACTTCTGCAAGGCATTGTACCTCCTGTAACTTGGATATGACAAATCTCAGTATCATTTAAATAAAGTATGGCCACACTATGCTTACTTTTTTTGTTCATGTCACAGTGAAACTGTCTTTGTTCAAGCTTGTGTTCTTCTTCCTTGGTTTCAATTTCTTTTAGAAGTCTTTCAACCGTATTCTTATGTTCCTGTAAATTTATCCAAACAAACTTTTAAACTATAAACACTGCAATTTATCTATCTGATCAGAGATGGAATTGTCATAAAATCCCACAGATCCCCCTTTATACTTAACTTTAAGCAAACACTATTAGTCATTTCAAAACTGACTTTGCAAGTCATGAAGTCCAGATAATCCAGCCACAATTTTTCTTCTGTTGAACAGAAGTCATGCCAGGTCACCTACATACTGGGTTACAATTTTAAATGAATTTCTTCATACTGAGCTCAATAGCTTTTACATTCCAATGTTTAAGCATGCAACTTTAGCTTGTGTAAATTCACACCATCAAACTTGCTTTCCAATTCCCTGCCAGAAGCAACGCACTACTCCAAATGCCAGTTTCCCACACAAAAGAAGGACACACTGTGGCTCTGTGCATCAGTTACATGGAGATTTGGGTGAGGCTGGAAAGAGTGGTAAGTGGAGGTGGTTTGTCACTCTTACCAAGTAGTTTGCTACTGGCTTCCTGGTATCCATGATTCTATCAGTTCTCTGGGTTTGGTCAGGATAACAACTTACTGTGGAACAAGCCATAGGCTATCAAGGTGGCTTGTTGCCCACAAAACAAGCCTCCCTGTAGGAAACAACCACATGAGATAACAAACCACTGTGGTTTTTCATCTGTGACGGGTTGTCATGCCATGAAAACTCAGTTACTGATGGATTTCAGGGGAAACCTGGTCTTTAGGACAGAGAAAAGAACAAGTGGTTTGGACTTGTGTCAGATGGTGAGCCAGAAACACAATAACTAAAGGAATTTTAAATCAGTGTTCCTAATCTGCTTATGTACAAGAAGTTCATTATCATCCATGAAGATAATAATATAAAAAAGAATGAGCCAAATGCAATGATCAAAATGCAATAATCCCCGCTTAGAAAGTAGACTGAGCCCCAGTACACTGTCCATTACAAAAGCCAAAGGATGTGAGGACAGATGCTCCCACCTGTTCATGGATCTTCAATTTTTCTTCCAAAATACAGACTGTGCTCTTAAGCTTCTCATTTTCATCTGTGTAAGGGAATTGCTAGAAGTCAGACCTGTGGGATAAGTTCCTTACCTTTTCTGTACAGTAAATACAGAAATAAATATTTATCAACTGAATAAGCAGCCTTTGACTTCTTGGCTATCAGGCCAAATCTATGTTGGGTATTTAAATAATATTGACTTCTTATGTCAATGCAAGCCAGCAAAAACTGGACTGAAGGATGGATGTCAGGAGCATTAGAAACACTTTGACACATTCTAACTCTATGTATTTGTGCAGTATGACATACCTCCCCTGCCTATGTTGCATGCATGCATAAATCAGCCAGCCAGCCAGCCAGAGGCGGATGCAAGCTGTAAACTGCCCAGAGAGCTTTGGATTTTGGGTGATACATAAGTTAAAAAAACAAACAAATAAATATTTGTACATGTGCTGAGGAAATGACACCTCTTCCATGACTCTTAGAACCAAACTATAGAAAATATGAAAAGCTGTTTAGTCTTCTGGTGAGTGCTAGAAGCTGTGCTGGAAGAAAACATAGCCAAATATGTAGAAGAGTGAGTCCTGCTGTTCTCTGTAAATCACTAGGTGGTAGTATTTTAAAGGGTGTCCAGGTAGTCTAAACTCAGCAAATCAACTAAGTGACTTACCCAGTATTCTCTACTGGCCAGGGTCTTGCAGAGAATACATAAGTCATCCTATTTTTCCTTCTTTTTTGGAACTTTACCTGTGTTATTCCAAATATCATGTTTGTACATAGGAACAGCCTCTTAGTACATTAAGACATAACAATCTACCAACCGTGAAGCTAGCAAAACACATTCCAAGTTTATTACCTCTCAGATTACACTGGTTTTCTATAGTTTGCTGAAGACCTTTAATCACATTCTGGAGCACAGCACATTCTTTTAAAAACAAAGAAAAGATATTAAGCTACTTTGATATTATGGTATGTAATATATCAACTATAACAAAATTATTTCTGAGTGTAATGGCGTATAAAGAAAAACGTCATTATGCAAGTTTCTGTATTTCTAAATTTTATAGTTTCAATGCATTTGAATTATTTTTGCAATTTTAAGTTTGCCTTTTATTTAAGAAGCAGCAACATAACTGTATTTTAAAAGGTACTCTCTCATATTTGCAAGTATGTGCATTTTCAAAAAATGAACAGAAGATGGACCTCTGGTATCACTATATTTTCTAGGCCATTCACATACTATATACTATAATTGTCTTTGATCATAAAAATATAAAACTCTTTTATATAGGAATAAATAAGTAGTATGATCCATTTGTGCTGCACACTCAGAAGAGCATCCCCAAGTGGCATTACAGAGACCTTTGCCATCATCCCCAGCTAGCTGCAGGGCAAGGTATCCAACGACTGCTATTAAAGGGCTCTCTGTCTGTTGGTCCTATGTAAGTTTCTACTGGCCCTGTGATTTGGCCACAGCATGTATTTTGAGAGCTGCCCATTCATTTGTACCTGTTGTTGTTTCCAAAACTGTCTCCAAGATCAACCTCACTTAAAGGCATATTGGAATTTTTAAAAATCGGGACTTTACCAACTCACTTTGATGTTATTCAGTTTTTAAAAATAATATGGATGAAAAAATCTAATTGTTTAAAGTGCGTTCAGTGAAAGTGGAATCCTAACATTCAAAGCATGATACTGCATTTTGATTTTTCAGAAACACACAAAAATCACAAACTGTGAATATCATAAGAGTTGTTGTCTCTTATATGGGAGAAAATGCTTATTTTAAGCAAGTGTTTGATATAAAATGCGGACACATGTGTTAAAAACTAATTTCTCCTTTCAGAACTGTTGTTTTATTTGTAAGCAAATCTATGCAGATTTTATGGATTGATTAAAAAATCATACAATTATATCTAATTGTGTCCTTTTGCCAGAAGAACAGATACCGCTGGCGAATCAAATTCCTCTCTCACCAGCAGCACCCCAAACCTACTCAGCCTCCAGATTTGAGGAGCATGCAGGAGTCTGCAGAGGAGAGAATGGGAAGAGAAATCCCCGTTATGTGAACATACATCCACTGCTGCAATGCTAGATTTAGCCTATAGAATTAATCCATTAAGAATTTTTAATCAGCTGGTAATATTATCGTAAAGGACACTACTATTCAGCTCCATAGACATGTTGTTAAATCTTTTAAAAATGTGAACACAATTTTCATTAAGATCTTTGTCTCTTTATGTCAGCCAGCCTTCTCCAATCTGACTGGACCTGAAGGCAGTAAGTGAGGAAAGGCTGCTTTATGCAATCCACTTTACTTTAGAAGTTGGAAAGGACTGTCCATCACCAGAAGCAACTGTGTAAGATCCTTTTGCAAAAAGGGCAGCCAAAACAGAATGTGGAGACTCAGGGAACGTGCTGGAGGAAGTTTGCTGTTCAACCAAGTCACAACTGAATAGGTCAGTGCCAAAAGTGGAGCTTGACATTATCTAGTTAGTGGATAGTAGGCCTAGTTTATCAGATTTCTAAGCTATTTCTAATACAGTCAGTGTGACATAGTGTTTGGAGGGCTGGACTGGGACTCAAGGACTTGGGACTAGTTCCCATTCAGCAGTAGACTTTGGGCCAGTCATGTACTCTCAGCCTAGCCTACGTCACAGAAGTGTTGTTGTGAGGATAAAATGGAGAGAAGAACCTTGTAAGCTGCCTTAAGTTCCTTGCAAGAGGAAGAAAGGTGGGGTTGTTGTTGTTGTTAGTCAAGAAGTCGTGTCCGACCCATTGCGACCCCATGGACAACATTCCTCCAGGCCTTCCTGTCCTCCACCATCCCCCAGAGTCCACTCAAGCTCACACCCACTGCTTCAGTGACTCCATCTAGCCACCTCATCCTCTGCTGTCCCCTTCTTCTTTTGCCATCTATTGTTCCCAGTATTAGGCTCTTCTCCAGGGAGTCCTTCCTTCTCATTAGGTGGCCAAAGTATTTCAGTTTCATTTTCAGGATCTGGCCTTCTGAAGAACAGTCAGGGTTGATCTCCTCTAGGACTGACTGGTTTGATTGCCTTGAGGTCCAAGGGACTCGCAGGAGTCTCCTCCAGCACCACAATTCAAAGGCCTCAATCCTTTTGCACTCAGCCTTCCTTATGGTCCAGCTTTCACAGCCATACATTGCAAATGGGAAAACCATAGCCTTGACTATACGCACTTTTGTTGGCAGGGTGATGCCTCTGCTTTTTAGTATGCTGTCTAGATTTGCCATAGCTTTCCTCCCCAGGAGCAAGCGTCTTTTACTTTCTTGGCTGCAGTCCCCGACTGCGGTGATCTTCGAGCCAAGGAAAATAAAATCTGTCACTACCTCCATTCCCCCCCCCCCCCCCACCATCTTTTTGCCAGGAAGTGAGAGGACCGGATGCCATGATCTTAGTTTTCTTAATGTTGAGTTTCAAGCCAACTTTTGCACTCTCCTCCTTCACCCACATCAAGAGGCTGTTTAGTTCCTCTTCACTTTCTGCCATGAGAGTAGTATCATCTGCATATCTGAGGCTGTTGATATTTCTCCCAGCAATCTTAATTCCAACTGGTGATTCATCTAGCCTCACCTTTCTCATGATGTGCTCTGCATATAAGTTAAATAGGCAAGGCGACAGTATACAGCCTTGCTGAATTCCTTTCTCAATTTTGAATCAATCAGTGGTTCCGTGTCCAGTTCTCACTGTTGCTTCTTGACCCGCGTATAGGTTTCTCAAGAGACAAACAAGATGGTCTGGTATTCCCATCTCTTTAAGAACTTGCCACAATTTGTTGTGCTCCACACAATCAAAGGCTTTAGCATAGTCAATGAAGCAGAAGTTTTTCTGGAACTCCCTTGCTTTCTCCATGATCCAGCGTATGTTGGCAATTTGTTCTCTAGTTCCTCTTCCTCTTCGAAATCCTGCCTGTACTTCTGGTAGTTCTCGGTCCACATACTGCTGGAGCCTAGCTTGTAGCATTTTGAGTATAACTTTGCTAGCATGTGAAATGAGTACAATGGTGCGGTAGTTTGAACATTCTTTGGCATTGCCCTTCTTTGGGATTGGAATGTAAACTGTCCTTTTCCAGTCCTGTGGCCACTGTTGAGTTTTCCAAATTTGCTGGCATATTGAGTGTAGCACTTTTATTGCATCGTCTTTTAGGATTTTGAATAGCTCAGCTGGAAGAGTGACACCTCCACTAGCTTTGTTGTTGCTCAGACTTCCTAAGGCCCATTTGACTTCACATTCCAGGATGTCTGGCTCGAGGTCAGTGACCACCCCATCGTGGTTATCAGGGATGTTAAGCTCTTTCTTGTATAGTTCTTCTGTGTATTCTTGCCACCTCTTCTTAATCTCTTCTGCCTCTGTTAGGTCCCTGCCATTTTGGTCCTTTATCATGCCCATCTTTGCATGAAATGTTCCCTTCACATCTCCATTTTTCTTGAAGAGATCTCTGGTCCTCCCTATTCCATTGTTTTCTTCTATTTCTTTGCACTGTTCATTTAAGAAGGCATTCTTATCTCTTCTAGCTATTCTCTGGAATTCTGCATTCACTGGGTGTATCTCTTTCTCCCTTGCCTTTCGCTTCCCTTCTTTCCTCAGCTATTTGTAAAGCTTCCTCAGACAGACATTTTGCTTTCTTGCATTTCTCTTTGGGATGGTTTTACTTGCTGCCTCTTGTACAATGTTGCGAACCTCTGTCCATAGTTCTTCAGGCACTCTGTCTATCAGATGTAATTCCTTAAATCTATTTGTTACCTCTACTGTATATTCATCAGGGATATGATTTAACTCATACCCGAGTGGCCTAGTGATTTTCCCTACTTTCTTCAATTTAAGCCCAAATCTTGCAACCAGAAGCTCATGATCTGAGCCACAGTCAGGTCCTGGTCTAGTTCTTACTGACTGTATAGAGCTTCTCCATCTTTGGCTGAAGAGCACATAGTCAATCTGATTTCTGTGTTGACCGTCTGGTGATGTCCATGTGTAGAGTCGTCTCTTGGGTTGTTGGAAAAGAGTGTTTGCTATGACCATCGTATTCTCTTAACAAAATTCTACCAGCCTGTGCCCTGCTTCATTTTGTACTCCAAGTCCAAACTTGCCTGTTATGCCGGTTATCTTTTGGCTTCCTACTTTAGCATTCCAATCCCCCATGATGATAAGGACATCATTTTTGGTGTTAATTCTAGAAGGTGTTGTAGGCCTTCATAGAACTGGTCAAGTTCAGCCTCTTCAGCATCAGTGGTTGGGGCACAGACTTGGACTACTGTGATGTTGAATGGTTTGCCTTGGATTCGAACTGAGATCATTCTGTCATTTTGGAGATTGTATCCCAGTACTGCCTTTCCTACTCTTTTATTGACTATGAAGGCTAATCCATTTCTTCCGAGGGATTCTTGCCCGCAGTAGTATACCTGATGGTCATCTGAATTAAATTC